TATATATATATACAGAATTTTTGCCGAGGCTAACGGGGTCACGTGACCCTCAACTACCAACCTAGGTCCGCCCGTGGGTGCGTGTGAAGGTTGCCACATAAATTTCTAATACTTTTTTGCTAAGAAGGTTATTTATTTTGCCTTGCTGCATATTTTTCGAATGAATTATCGTTATGTTACCTTATTCATTTAATGAACGATATATACAAGATAAATTTTTTATTGATTTTAAAATTCTACTCTTTCTATCATAATTTATGCGTCATACTTTTTTTCTAGTTTGTCCCGAAAAAAATGTCATACTTTCCTATTTTTGGGATAATTAAACCTTAAACCTTTTAATTTACTCCTAATAAGATGATATATGTATCCATACAAATAGTTATGGCTGGTTCTAAAACCGCATGTTTCATAATGTCCTACAAAATAAATGAAAGGTATTATAAATATGTTACTAACTCAAATAAATAAATATACAAAATAAAATTATAAGTAATTTTAAAATCCTGAATATAAGGACTTCCGATATTGTTCAACTTAAAAAAGATTTTAAAGAAAGATGCAGGAACTTATACTTAAAACTATCTTAAATTTTGTTACAAATTAAAGCACGACCTATTGCTATTGATCTCAATAAATTTGAATATCTTATCTATGTTTCCTTATCAAATTTATAATAATTGCATTTATGAGTTTATATAAGTATATATTGCGACATTTAAATATAAACTTAAGCTACACAAAAATAAAAAAATAAAAATAAAAATAAAAAAGGCAGCCCGGTGCACTATGCTCCCGCTATGCGCAGGGGTCCGAGGAAGGGCTGGATTACAAGGGTCTATTGTACGTAACTTTACCCTATATTTCTGCAAGAAATTGTTTCCACGGCTCGAATCTGTCACCTCCTGATCACATGACAACAATTTTACCATAAACTTAAGCTACAAAATAGTATACATTTATTATAACCATAAATTATTGTTATTTTCGAACGTAGGCATGTCGTTTTTAAATTTATTTAAAGACTTATTCTTACTCGTCCTAATGTGCTAGTAAAATAAACTTCAATTACGTGTTTATACTTTAACTATTATATATAATATAACCTAAATATCGGAGTTTGTACACAGTTCAAATAAGAAAATATTTAATAATAAAAAATTTATTAATTTTGAAATTCCAAATTATAGAAAAATAATTAAATTACAAGTTTGTCCAATATGAAATAAATTTTTAAAAAGTAAAAAAGGCGAACGATATTTCGCTAAGGGCATTCATACTTTTAATCTAGTATAGATATAGATGTGGAATAGTTAATTCCGAGATAATTTTTACACACAAATGGTATAATTGGTTATCCCATATAGAAAATAGGATAACTAATTCCATAAGATATTCCGCCCCATAGAATCAAATGACTCCTTGACCTTTACTGCTAAAGGTTAAATTGCTTTGCCTGGTGTACCTCAGACAATATTTGTCATTTTAGATGCAAAATCTTATTCTTAGGCCATTCCCTTCTCCAGAATATTCTTTTCGAAATAGACCAATGGGCATGATTCTCTATGCTGCGCGGACTCTCAAAAAATGACAATGCACCCGTGTCAGATCTTTAAAAAATGCACTACTTTTGGAAGATCCTACAGTACACCTGAAAACATTTTTGGAGAGTCCGGTCGACGATTCTCTTGGCAATTTGGTCCAGTTGGAAGTTGGAATTTGAAAGTAGAATCGGACATTTCTCACCCAACAGAAGGAATATATATAATTTACACTGGAATTGAGATGTCAAATTCCCGGTCAAATGATACAGAAATAACTACAATGGCAACGGCTGTAAATTAGAAATTTGACCAAACCTTGTCGAGCCCAAGTGACTTCTATCATTGTGAAGAACAAGTACTTCCAGTGTGCCTGATTCTCTCAACCATGCAGCTACCACCGCTCCCGTGGATATAAACCTTCCGATATTACACTTGGCTATCTGGAACGGTGCACCTATGCTTGTGAGCAGGCCCTCAATCGCTCGTTTCAGAGCGCCATCACCTGTAATCTTGCTGTGCTTGCCCCAGCCAGTCAAAATGCTGCAAAGGACAGTATAATATTTAATGCATATCACTCTTATAGTTTGTCCAACTCTGGAAAAATCTAAGAACATAAGAGGAAATACCTCAATATCTTTGGTAGCTCATGGCCTCCATACACAATAGACCGTATACTAAGCAACCATGCGTGGACCATCGCACATGCAGCGCCTGAAGACATCAAATGCAGATCCAAGCAAGAAGTAGACCATGTGTTCTCCCACACTTCGCGACGTTTTCCTTCAAGCACAACCAGTTGAGCACCTTGTTTCTGTGGAAAAATTAAATTAGATCGGACTCCAAATACCCAGAGTCAGCAGTAACTATTTCACCAGTAGAGAATAAGATGATCCTATACAGCCATGACACAAGCTAGATCGGATATCATTTGTGTGTGCTTGCTATATTATTTCAACTCCTTTTTCTTAAGGAAACTATATCTTTGGATGTGGAAAGAACTAGTTCGCACATAACCAGTTCCTATTAGGATTCACTTTTTTCCTTGTTCTTGCTCCTCGAAGAATTTCACTGTTAAATTCAAGAATTGCAGCTGGACACAGCAATTCACATGTGGTTTAGTAGTTCAAAGTATGAGTTTTGGAATGATGCGTTCTTTCGCAGCCATTTTCCATATTAGGCAATGAAGGCCGTGCCTATTAAAGGAAATATCTAGAGCTATACACCACATAAGCCACAATCTCTTCATCTACAAAGAGAAATTTCACTCAACATAAAATTAAAATAAAATGATACAGAAATTTTACTCTATGTTTTCTGCTCTTTAATACTCCAGTTGTTATGTAGCTGCAGTTTTACCTGACCAAAATGCCACAACATGTCAGTCAAAGCATTGTAAAAGGCAGATGCAGTTGAAGAGTCCATCTGCTTCACTTCATTGAAAAGAGATAGAGCTTGTGTCCATACACCTTCCTGCTGACCCATGAGAAGTCCATGTGCCACCCCATATACTTGATTATCAAATAGGCGAAGTTCTTCGAGTAAGAGTGAAGCTTCATCAAATGAACTGCACCGGCTGCAATTATATTTAAGTCACACATCATATCTACAAATCCATTCAGCTTTATGATAAACATTTGAATCAATCAACTACATTGGGATTCCACAAAGATGCTTTTAAGTAGCAATTTTTTTAACACTCCTTGTGATTTTGGAGAGAATAAACTTTGTTTGAAAAAAAAAAACTTTTGGCAATAATAGAAAAGCCTATCCATGTTCACACCCGCTGCATAATAATCTAGTTCGAAGCTAGCAACCAGAAGGAAAGGCTCATTAAAACAAAATAAAATGTTACCAAAAAATCATTGAAACGTCAAATAGTGCCAGATGAAGCCAGAGTTTTTCCACCCAATGAACTGCCTTCTAAAGTTGAATTACATAAACATTTATGTGATTAAGCACAATTAAAATGTGGGCTTTAGCGATGAAAAGTGCAATGAAGAAAAAACAAAAATAGAAATGTAATGGATGAAAATGTAACTATAAACACAATCAACAATTATTTGCATCAAAGAATGAAAAAACTGTGATTAAGCTCTATATATGTTGTTGTGCCTTACAGACAAAACCCATTGGTGAAAGCGTGCACGCCTTAGCACCTTGACGCCTTCATTAAACCGCCAATTAAGCGAGGCAAAGCACAATCTGGGTTTCACACAATCTAGGTTTCACGGAGCTTCAGGGCTTAAGCACCCTTTAAGCGAGTCTTTAACAGCACTGGATCATACTAACACTCACATAATGAAACGACGGTGCATTAAGGAAAGCACAATTCAATGTAAAACATGGAACTAGTGAGAAAGAAAATTATACCTGCAAGCATTCAGGATTGCTGAAAATGTGACTACATTAGGCTTTATTTGTAATTCATGCATCTTATGGAAAACACCCAAAATACAGAGCAAGTCCTGTTTTTCACCATTAGTTTTCTTCCCGTTAGCTGCCTTTTGAGTAGTTAATTGCTCAAAAATTTTAATGATATTATCCTCTGCAGTGCATACCACCTTACTCTCAGGGACCGTGGGTACAACCTGTGTGACATTATCTGATCCACAATCATTGCTTGTTGATTCACCAAAAGCATTGATTATAGAATTGTATGTAACAACATTTGGTTGTATCCCTTCCTTGGTCATTTCGTTGAGCAACAATGAAGAATACTCCACAAGGCCTTTCTTACACAAGGCATCAATAAGTTTGCTATAAAAAACGACATCTGCCTTCAGACCTTGGCGCTTAAACTCCTTATAGACCTCCACTGCGTCCTGATACAAACCTCCTTTCAAATACACACTGATCAACGTGGAGTACGTCAATAAGTTAGGTGAAAGCTTTTCAGCTTTCATCTCTGCAAACAACTGCTTAACCTTGGCGTACATCCCTTGTTTTCCAAACCCATCCAGAAGAGCATTGTAAGTGACAACATCTTTCTTAATTCCCATACTCTCCATCTCCCTGCTAACACTAAGAGCCTCGTCAAACTTTCCCAAGCTAGCATATATAGCAAGTAACGTATTGTAAGAAACCCTGTCCAATGTTATGCCTGCACACTTCATCTCATTAAACAAACTCAACGCTTTGTCTAATCTCCCCGCCTTTGCACACCCACGAATCACAGTACTGTAAGTAACTTGGTTGGGCAAGATATTCTTCGCGTGCATCTCAGACATAATATCAAAAGCAACATCTACCTGCCCCCCATTGCAAGCTACGTCCAAGAACGTATTATACGTGTATATATCCTGATCAATTCCTCTATAAATCATCTCATTAAACAAACCCCTCGCCGTTTCCCACAACCCCGCACCACTACAAACAGCAAGCAGCGAATTAAAAGTAATCCTATCCGGTTGCACCCCATTTCTCAACATTTCATCAAAAATCTCCGATGCCTTCTTAAAATCAGCACCCCCTTTCCCACAAGCATCGATTAGTGCGTTGTAAGTAACTAAATTAGGCTTCAAGCCGGAATCTTTCATGGTCTCAAAGACTCCAATCGCCTCGTTACAATGCCCACTCTTAGCGTAAGCACTAATCAAGGCGGAATAAGCATAAACAGTATTACCATAACCCTCATTCACAGCATTTTGAAACACTTTTTCAGCTAAATCAACTTTACCTGATCTACCAAGTATACTAATCATTGAACTAGCTAATTTACCTTGCTCATTTCGCTTCCTTTCGCGACGAACAGCAAATTCGAAGCAACGCATAGCAGCTAACCACTCCCCTTTATTCCCCAGCTCCCTAAACAAGAACGTATAATCATCAGAACCCAATAGCTTTGACTCAAAAGTCAACAAAACCTGGTCCAAAACGGCGCCGTTTTTGCTTGCTTCTGTAAGAGCCTGCTCAGCAAATGAAGAGTGGCGGCTGGTACCAGAAACCCTGGGCCGGTTAAAATGCATCTTGGAAACGAATCGGGTCGAACGGCGACCCGAAAAATCTGCTGAAAAATCTGATCTTGAGGAAGAAAGGGATAAAAAGGAAGAGTTTTGGGAAGGTGGGGGGTGGGTGGTGGCATGGCGAGGGTGCGTGGGTCGGTTTAAGGAGACTTTGTGGGGGTGGT